TTCAACGGATTAAATCACTACAGTCACTGGAAAGGAGCAGAGCAAATATGAGCTTTCAATCTGCAGCTTCCAAATTGAAAAAAGTCACAAGTGTAGTGTTGTTATGCACACTGATACACACTGAAGTGTGTTTAAATCATGTACGAACAACACCAGGCTGCTGCAGACTACTGTCACATGAAAGTGGTCAGTTCCAACTTGCTGGAGACCGTTTTGACTCGGTTAACACACTGTGATGACAAATAAGTGAGACAATGTTCTGTCAGTGCTTTGTTAATGTCTCTTATTTTTCTCATCTAAACATACAGATTACAAGGGCGAAAATGATATTTCAGTTATAACTAAAATCGCTTTGGTTAAATTTTACAAGGGCGAATCACAAAGCAGGCTACAGAATCAGACAGTTTTGGTAGCAGTGCCAATGTTGTTGCATGTAAACTTAATCAAAATTTTTATAGCCTCCAACAGAGTTAGTAGCTGCACAGTTCCTGTGTTGATCACTGAGCACTGAGCACCAATAAAAATGTGAAAAGTTACGCACAGCAAACTCAACATGACTGGAGTTTTAAAACGGCAGCATAGTTGCTTGTACATTGAACATCCCAAATAAGGTTTTTTTGCTTAGTTTTTTGTCATGGGTGGGGGGACAGAGGTTTTTTTTTTCTGTATACAAAACACAATTTTGAGTGATATGATGCACAAACACTCCCTTTGCTGCTTTCCATCCCACAAGAAGGGAACATGACATCAACCTTTTCACAACCAATCCTTATACACTCTAAGCATCAGTTTAGTTTCACATTAGAGTCGTCATTTGTATAAGGCAAGTCTATGGATCAATTGTATTGGCAGTTATTGATCAGGTAAGCATTGACCTCTGCTCATATCCAGGCCCAGGATGAAGAACTAGGAACAGCGACTATCGATCCAAAGATATCTCTGATATTATGTCTCTTTCAAATTGAAGCTATCTTATACCAGCTGTCAGAGCAAAAGATCACGGCCTTTCTTTGAAAGTTAGAAACAAAGGCAGGAGGAGGAATCCGGCCTGCACTATTGGCACTGATAAAGAGACAAAATATGCTTGTCCATTGAGAAGAAATCAATAGAGGAAGGCAGAGAAGAGGGTGAGGGAATAGAGGAAGCAAAAGAGAGATGGAGTGATACCCTGGTTGTGTTCACTCTCTGAGTCTCTGGTGCAGTTTGGTGGTTTTAGTGGATTTTTTTCCAGTGGCCTCTGAATATGAATGATTCAAACAATGATGTTAGCATTGCTGTTTTGATGCATTTCTGTAGGTCATGACGCTTCTCTACAGCCTGTTCCATTTCTGTGGACAATGGTTGGGTGTGTCTCTGATCAGCCCCTAGTTTAGGATGAGAAGTGAATTACTGAGTGAACTGAATTTTATACACTGATTTAATAAACAGGAGTCATGACCTGTAACAGACTTCCATATGATAATAATGTCATATATAATAATAGTACCAAAAAACTTATGTCAGGAAGTCAAATAAACACATTTCTTTATATAGCTGTAGCTATGGATACATTTCCTTCTTGTCATTTAGGACATCCAGTGGCAGTAGTGGGTCTGATATACACCGCAAATCAGTTTTGTGCCTCTTTTTCTATCTCTCCTTTCTTGTTCTGTGCTTACATTTTTGGCAGTCACAGGAGAGTTTTAATTTGCAGCCCATTTCTCTTAATGGCAGCGAGTGTGTGGGTGTGTATGTGTTATGTCTTGTGTGCGTATGCCTGTACAGTAACAGAGAGACAAAAAACATGAGTCAATGATGCCAGCATGCTACTCTCAAGGCCCTTCTAAAGTAGTCAATGTTTTTAATCACCAGCAACTCTAACATCTAATTAATCATTAACTTTTCTCTTGCTGATCCTTGCCCCTCTCGGGGCATCTCGCAGAACGTCTCTCGCTCACGTTATCTTTGTGTGTCTGTGCATACAGTATAAGTGTGATGAGTCTTTGTGTATTTCTCTTTGGGGGAAGGTGGGTAGGGCAGAACTTAGGACAGCAATTAGTAGCTGAGGGTGTTTATAGGCTCACAGTGTAAAAACACCTCCTACGCTCTGTATATGAGAGTTTACTGACCAATATGCATTTAGTGCATGTAAGAATATTTACCTGACAGCGATATAGTATAATCATTTTCTAGACATTACATGGGGAAAAAACCCACTGTGACAATGGTGGTCATACTGTAAAAAAATCAAATATTACTTCTGCTCTTAAACTGTTCCATTAGCTTTTATAAGTATTTTCTTTTGGAGCCAAGTGGTATTGATGTCACCTTTATACAAAATACAACAGGTGGTGATTTCACCTGGCACCTCTGACCAGCCGACAGCAGATTTTCAAAACGACATTAGATAAAAAGTTGGAGAAAAGCTGGAGGTTCTACTTAATGTAATTTAGTTTCGTTCAGTATCAGTATTTTAGCCGTCCCTGGTAGGCTAGTGGTTAAGGTGCAGCACTCTTGTCGCTGTGGCCCGGGTTCAAGTCAGGGTTGCGTCAGGAAGGTCATCCGGCGTAAAACACATGCCAAATGTCAACATGCGAGTTGTCAGTGTGATGATTCGCCGTGGAGATCCCTAATGGGAAAAGCGAAAAGTGACTTTCTAGTTTCGTTCAGTATCAGCAATTTTGAAACTTGGATTTAAAAAATCAATGTGTAGAAGAAAGAAATTGGGTATTACTGAAATGCATATTGTGTATGTTTAGAATAATTAGTATCAGCCTGGTTTGTTCAATACTAATTAGCAACCTTTAATACAATGAGACTGTAGTTTGACAAATAAATGGACACAGTGGATACAGCGACACACCTTGGCAGCCAGATATGAGGTATTGCTGTGCAGTAACATGTACCGCAGTATTAACATATTATGAGCAATATGATTGTTGTGGCTGTAAAGTAAATTTTAGTGGCTCTAATACCATTTAAGAGAGAAATGAGTGAATATTAAACTGTTAAGCGTCAGCTTTAAATCACAGTATGTGAAAAGAACATTTTATGAAATTCCATTTATTTTCTCAATTGAGCATTTTCCTTTGATCATGGTGTCATTTTGTTCCCGGTGGTGAAAGTGAACTGCTGCAGCACTTTATCTGGTCACGCTCATGAGAGCACTCTACTTTAAAATGGAATACAATGAATTCTTCAGTCTCTTGTGATCTCAGCCTGTAGTAAATGCAACCCTGCCTTCCTAGGATCACTACCACCTGTGCTGAGATTAGTTTTATTCAAGCTAAAAAATCAAAGGTGCATGTGGCTGTGGCTGAACAGGTCTGTTGTCTGTGGCCTTGCTGTGTTTCATGGCTGTGTTGACACATGGAGCTATATGGCATTGCGGTATGACAGGTCCGTTAGTTACAAATAAGCAGGAGATGTTTCCACTTCATCTAAATGTATGTTGATGAGGGTAGAAGTGGTCCAATCAGCTATCCCTTCACTCCTTCCCTCATCTCATTTCCTCTCCTTCCCACATCTCTGGTGATCTACGCCCTCTGTTACTTGCTTGTCTTTCAATTTCCCTGCCTCCGCCCTCTTTGTCTAAACTCTCCTTTGTTTCCCTTTCTTCTGCTTTCCCCTCTCTTCTCCTTGGCTCAGTGTGTACAGGCAGGCGTGCACTTCACTGCCAGCAGTGATTTATTCTGCTTAGGCAAATGAGCGTGGCTTACAGCATGCTGCTCCCTTTCTGCTTCATCAGTACACATTGCACATAACACTGGAGCAGGTTGCAGCCTGTAGGCACACACACAACCCCTGAAATGGATCTAAGAGACACGCTGGAGGGTTTCTTCTGCAACACAATGGGCTGATGTGATTCATTCTTGTGTTTTGGATGTAGTTCAATGTGTAATCTAGCATGTATATTACACGGCTTGTATCTCTCATGTAATCATGGCAGTCTATGCTGGGGGTGTGGCAAAAAAAGCTGCCTACCGAGGAACCGAGGAAACACGTTTTAACTGACATGAGATTTTCCTTCATGTGACTCGTCCGATCACAAACTGATTTGCGATAAGGAGGTGTGTCAATCCGTAACAGACTTGCATGAAGGAAGCACTCGTGTATCCTCGGTTAGAGCTCCCCCAGGCAGCCTCCTCGGTCCTCGCTACTCACAGCATAAATAAGAGCTCTGGGGTGTCCTTCATCGTGGTGGACCAGAACAACTTCTGAGTCAAACGAGGATTGAGAACCATGGCACAGTAAAATAAGGGCCTAGTAACTGTGCTTTCCTTTACTGTATTACCGCACACAAAGCAAATGCATCACTCTTTTGTCAATAATTTCAATTCTTTTCACACTCGGTTGGTAATTTACATATACTATTTTTATGGAAAGGTGAAAGAAGGAAGGTGTGGTTCATTACTTGGCAGGATCAACACAGTTTGTGTGAATATGACTGACGTGCTGTCAGTCATATTCACATGTGCTCCATTGCAGTGGAGACCTACTAACTGTAACTGTTACGCTTCAGTTTACTATTCTACACCTTCAGCAGAGAGAAGTGCACAGAAATACTTCACTTCCAGCTGATAATTTTATTTGGCTGAAGGAAACGTGTTGCTACCTGAGGAGAAGTTAGTCTTCTGTATTGTGCATTGTTGTGAGTATTAATTGTCAAAATGGACATAACATTTAAGGATTCTGGAAATGTTTTCAGAACTGAAGCAAATGGTTTAATTTATTTTTCTGAAAAGCAGTTGCTTGAATCTGTGATTCAAATGTATTTGTGAAAGAAAAACATGCAAAAGACGGACATTTAACAAGCCGTAATTATAAAGTAAATGATCAGTAAGTCTGCTAGTGAATAGCAGAAGAGTTTATTCATCAAGGACATGCAGTGTGTCACTCTATAGCCACTTTCAGATCTGTGTGTATGAACTGTGAGTACAGTCAGTGTGCTTTGTGACTCAGGAGCTGCTTAGTGTTGGTGTGAAAGTGTAGAGAGAGAGAAGGTGCTGCCCCATGGATACCTGTGACCTGGTCAACAAGGATGCGGGAGGTAATGATGCGTCCGTACTGGGAGAAGAGCTGTTCCAATTCCTTCTGGGTCATAGTCTTGGGCAGGCCACTTACATACAGGTTGGCATCACGGATAGAGGCTGAGCTGGGTCGCGCATATGACACCTGTGGGAGAGGGATATACATAAATGATGACATTATAAATTGTGTAAGTTAGGGCTGATTGCTTATTCGTTAAAACCTAGAGGTGTTATATTCTAAACCAGATCACAGAGTGAAAGGTCCTGGGTGTGGCATTAGTCACACCGTGAGGACTGAAACCTGTCTACACACACACACACACACACACACACAGTGGG